GAAGACTCCCCGTGTAGTACATGTAAAAATTCTGTCGAGTCGCAAAGTCCTCCATGTTCCCACAACAAATCAATACCTCTGAGGGTACTGGATTGGAGATCGATCGTTCTCTGATTCAGGTCAAAATTACGATCTGTGGATGAATGAATAGATGTATGAATGGGTCCGCCTTATAAACAGGTGTGACGCATGATGTGGCAGAAGACGAATTCTTGGCCATAGATGGCGCCACTGAAAAACAAGAAGCGCACCCTCGGCTCGGTTTCACCAGCAGGCTTGCTAGTTTAGCAAGTGGCATTAGAACCAATCAGGCATAAGATATTTAGATTAAGCGAAGTATTTACCTGAAAATAAATTACTTTCCTAATAAAAATGATACCAGCTATATAGTAACAGATTTAAAGTTTTAGTGCAGTTGGTTGTCGTTTGGATACCCTGTTGACAAGATACCTATGGCTGTTGCCCCTCCCCCTTTTTGCACGCCACTGTTATGTTGCTAATAACCAGGTCACACCATTTTCGTCCATTTTCAAATGTGATGTAAAAAATAGATTTTGTTTCACGCTAAAATGTTTCGCAGAATTTTAAATATAACTGAGACTGTAAAAAGACATCTTTATCATTATCAGACAAAGAAAGAATCTCTCTGGGTGGGATTTCCGTTCTCAGAATATTAAATTGGAAAGCAGTGAGTTTTCAAATATCCATTTAGTAATTTTACGACCAGTTTTTTTAGTTTTGGGAGGACGTTGGTCAGTTTTAATATAATCAAATTAAATAACATATTTCTCAAAAGATTAAAAAACTAGAATTTCCAATTAAAATTAAATTTCCTAACAACAATTTGTTAAGTGTTTTGCTTTAAATATTTTAATTATTAATAAAACTAGCTTTCTCATTATAATTAATATGTTATCTCTGAAAAACAATTGCTAATTGCAAAGCTCCTTTCCTTTATCAGAAAAAAAAACTCTTCAACTTAAAGTTACTTTTTTTTCCTGCTAACAACATATTCGATACAAAAAGCTTCCAAAAATGTTAGATCGAATTTCGATTTAACTCTAAAGTTCATGTGCCTAGCTTTTCCGAAAATGCATTATATTTTTTTCTTTCGTGTAACATAATATTCTTTTAATTAATATCAAGAAAATCGCATTATTCTTAAAAGCAACGCATAGGATGAAATCGTTTTAGGTTACTATGAAAAAAGTGATTTTTTTTATAGTAATAAACTATTCTTTTTCATATCTTTTATTCAATAAGGAGAGATGTTATAGGAAAATCTTTTATTTTCGCAGGAAAAAGAAAATAAAGAATTCAGCCAAAAAATAAACAAATAAAATCATATATTTGTTAAAACCATTAAAGCTACCCAACTTTATTATTTCTTCCCTTAATTTTGTTTAGTACGAGGAAGGATCAAATATAAATGAGACTTTTTTAATAACTAAATATTGAAATGGTATTTTCAAAAAGTACAAGAATGTTATTCTTTCTCATACTTGCCGTGAAATTCTACACACCTTTTCCCACACTTTGGAAGTTCTAATCCCTGTGGTATTAAAAGAAATTGGCCATGCAGTGAACCAATTGCGCAAAAAATCTTCGGCCTCTTTATTGGAAGAAAATCCCTCTCCCCTAATGCTTCTTTAAGGTGTCCAAATGAATGGTATACAGAAGGTGTCAAGTCCAGGTTTTATAGAGGATGTTCAACTGTTTCTCAGTGAAATGCCTGTTACTGCGGATTTAAGAGGCTTTTGACAAATGTCTTTTCCTGCATCCTTTCGATTTGTGTTCAAAATTCTAGGCATCTACCTTGTGGAGATTTTTCGATGTTCTAAATCTTCATGAAGTAAGCTTTGCATGCTTCCATAACTCATCTCTGTTATAGAACTAATTTTTCAAACTTTCCTTCGTCAGTTATTAAGAATAAGATCACGAACTTCGTCAATTTTCTCTGTCGCAAGACTCGTTCTTGGTCGAAGAGCAGGAGACAAGTTTTCAACTTCCTCACGATCTTGTTTAAATAACTTGTAAGATTTGCATATTTTAGTCATTGACAGGGTATCATTGTGTCTGTAATTTGTGCAAAAGTTCAATAGGTGTGACATTTTTTTTTGTAAAAAATTTAATTATTATGCATTTTGCTACTGCATTAGGAACGTTACTTTCACTTATCATTCAAGTTTCCAAAAAAAAAAAAAGAATTTATAAAGAACTAAACACTACCAAATAATTTTTTAACTTCTAGATAAAGTTCTATTGTTGCCATGACAATGAGAACAAAAATTGTCTACTGCCAGTGACGTAGTTTTGGGGAGGGTTCGGGGGGCAAAACCCCATCCGAATATAAACATTAAACTTGATTAATGAACTATTGTACGGTAAGTGATGTATATATAAAAAAGTTTTCATAATTCATTTTTTTGTAATTTAAACATTATATATTAATTAGATACAGTAAGCATAATATTAAATAATAATTAAACNAGGAGATAATCGATAACCTCCAGGAACAAACATTAAAAATACGCCGTTGTTTGCTGCTATTAAAAGTTATATTTGATTATATTTGATCCTCAATCCTCAGCTATATTTGATCTACCTACTCATTTCATTTAATCACTCTATGCATCAAACAAAATTATATAATGTTCGATTCATCATCATAATAGATTCATATAATTCTTGTTCTGTTCTGTACTCTACTTCTAAGCATTTTGAACCCAATTCATAAACTGCTATTTCTGAATGCATCCACACGTTTTCCTATAGTTATTCTGCATAGAAAACTTGTACGTAAGCCACTTACTATTATAAATATGTGGAAAAAACTTATCTTAGCATATATAGGGTATTCGAAAACTCAACCAACAAATTCAGAGTTCTGATAAAAGGCATTAAAGTGTATCATAGAACACGGGATCACTTAGCCAATGGTTAAAGAATCGGACTCCAGTCCAGACGGTCCGGGGTTCAATCCTCGACTCCTCTAAGACCCACTGAGTACATACGACATACGTGTTCGTAAAAGCCGTGGAAATGAAAGTCCTGTAGACGGTCTCGGACAGTACCATGGGTACACGGATCTGGAGAAAATTCCCTTCCCCTTATGATCCATGTCTAAATTAAGGAAGTGACCTCCCGGAAGAGATCCTCTGCAGAGGATGAGAACTGCGATGGTATGTCTCCGGGTCTTTCCCGAGCATGCTTTCCCGACCGTCGGCAATAGCCCATAGTGTAGCTCTAGTGCGACGTAAATAAAGTACCTACTTGTAGTATCCAAATTAAATTAAACGCATTTGTGCCATTTACTTATAAGCCAAAGATAATATGTAAGCCAAATATATAAGGAATTCACTTATAAGCCTTTCTCCGTATATTCTTTGTATAAGTGCCGAGGTTCTTCAGTGAAATGAACTACTTAAACCTTTTTCTACTTACTACTTTTTGGGCATTTAACTTTTCTATCATTGTCTGAAACTTTAGCTTCTCAGCCACTAACATATTTCTAGAATGAAATTTTTTCTGTTTCCTATTCTAGACCTAAGTGTTGACAGATCAACCTAAATAACCATAATTTTGGGGCCGCAGCTACTTTCCTTCTGTCAAACCTTTTGAGTGCGAAGAGGTAGTGAATTAAATTTCTGCCATGACCTTTATGTATCTATATTTCGATAATTTCCTGCCACTTATCCACTCAATCCTGCCGGTTGTATAATGAATAATAAGTGGAGTAAAAATTCAGTAATAGTTCCATTGTGAAACCACAGTAAAATAGTTTTCTCACAGTCTGGCATTTACTTCTTCATTCTCTCTATCATATCTAAGATATTGTTTGAAACAATTATCACCTTGCAAACTCTAAGGTTCATTAGTAGTTTCAGAAAACAAACCTGTGACCTTCTCTGTCTCAGCCAGGGAGCTTTTTTCCGAGATGATGGTTTAGTTTGATTTTAATAGATACACTAGAGCTATGCTATTATCGATTGCCAACAAACATACCCTTTTAGTGATGATCTGAAGACAATTCATGAACAACACTACCATTGATTAAATCGGATAATAGATGCTAGTAGTACAGAGATGCCTTCTCTGTCGCTGCCCAATACCTTAATGTCTTGAACTTTTCCAACGAAGGTTGTAGGTTCGGGCCATATGTAGTCTAAATGCCTTAATACTCACAAGTGAGTTACCCCCACATGAGTTTATCTAGAAACTAAAACCCTGGTCTTCTAGAGAAGAGCAAAGCTACACCCCCAACGTTCACTTATAATCGAACAGCATTTAAGCACTTAATTGAAGTAGGACCAACTTCACGAATAATAGTTCCATGTTAAAATTGGTTCTACTTCATTTAAGCAGAGTGATATTCGTTTGTAAATAGCTGGCAGTTGTTAGTGACTTCAGGTGGCGAACCTACGATCTTCTCTTTGCACTCCGAACCCTCAGTTTTTTGTTAACCCGCTCCATAAAATGCCATCGTAGTATAAACTATTAGAAGCAGCTAAATTCCTCACTATATAATTCCTTATTTGCTTGAATTTAAACTATCTAACATCTTTCACCATCTGCTATTTTTAATTTCACGTCTTGCTTACCAAAATCTAGAGAACTTTACCATTAATCTATTTTGTACTAATCTTAGTAATAGTAAGGAGTAGTAGGAGTCCTATTTTCTACTTGTAGTACATAGTTGAAAAGTAGTTTTCAACTACATAGTTATGTTTTGAAAGCAAGTGTTCTAGTTACATAGTTATGTACTCGTACTACTTTAAAAGTAACAGTGCCGCAAAGGAGTTCTCTTTTGGGCCTCCCTGGCCGAGCAGTACTCCACGCCAAACGCTGTGCAAAGCATCGAGGTAGCGGGTTCGAATCCCACTGTTACCCTGGATGAATCTTCGTGCTGTCTTTCTCTGTATTGTGCTATCTGTCCTTCTATTTGACAAAGGTTTACAAGCCTAAATTGAGAACACAAGCCTGCAAATGTATATAAATCCAATAAACCAATAAGGAGTTCTCTTTCAATTTTTTAATAGTTAGGTAATGAGTGACACGTGAAACTAATTATGAAGTTTATCTGATTGTCAACAAAGCTGATTCTGGTGCACACTGTATAGTTTGACATAGCTGGTGAAGGTTTAAGGAGGGCTAGTTGCAAGGAATAATTGTTAGCTGAAGTTTACTTAGTCATAGATAGTAAGTGGTTAGTTTGTACCTAAATTATTCTGAACTTTACTTAATTATTAGAGTTTTTATAATACTGTTGAGATTTTTTTATAATTGGAAAATTTTTGTCTAGATTAAACCTCTTAATATTTTAGTTGTAACTTTATCTTTCATTTATTTTTACGCTAAACTTAAGGATTCTCTCAAATGAACCATTTTTTTACTTCGCATGTAAAAGTAAAGCATTTAATTTACTGATTCGTAAGATATAAAATTTTAACATTTTACAATATATGATGTATCAATTATATTTTTCTGCAGTAATGAAATATTGCCGTAATCAGAACAATTAAAGGCTTGTTAGGATTTTTTTTTTAAATAAATATAATTTTAGCTTTAAAATTAGGATATTGAAATAGACTAGAGCTTTTAGTAAGGAATTTCAACAAAAAAATTGCTTTTCTTACAAAAATTTACTAACAATTTCTTAGTTTTTATTTAAGAACAATTTATCCCAGCCAAACAGAATATCTGAAGTTTCTTCACAACTTGTTTTTAATTGCGATGTCTGGTGTATAAAAAAAATTCTCAAATTTGATCTGGTTAGTTTTTTTCCATCAACGTTCCTAAATTTTTTGTGGCGTGTAGAAACTCGCTGACTGGATTTAAATTCACTTGGCTAAAATTATCTTTTTAACTATCTCATATATAGTTAAGACTGAATAATTTATAGCTAAATTTATCGCTTTGTAACCAGATCAAAATATTTATTTTTCCATTAAAAACTGCTATGCTATAAAGTTTAGTTTACGGTATAATTACTATACTGTACGTGAAACAAAGCATAGAGTAGTTGTCTATAATAGTAGTTGCATTATTTATATATTAAAATTTAATAAACTGTTAACATTGTCAAAACTCGAATGGCAATCAACCATATCGTATAGCTAAACTGTCATGTATTTTAACTTACATTTTTCTTGCTTATATTTTTCCGAAACATGAACTAATTATCTTTGCAATTAGTTTGTTTTTTTAGTGACTATTTGGATTGTATCTGTCAAACTACACTGTTAAAATAGTTTCTGGTTTTCATGGATCATAAGAAATGTCTTAGTGTTATCTCATGACCAAATTTTTACTTACCGAGCTATGACTATTATGTTTGCCTATTAAACCCAATTTGGAACAAGAGCGAGTTAAGACCTACATACTTTTATTAAAATCTATCGCCTGAATGGGTTCTGAATTGCATGTCAAGTAATTTTCATTTTTGGTTTAAATTATCGCCTATTTGGTTTAGCTTCAAACTTAGTTTATAGCAAATTGATTTCGTTTCATTGAAAAATGTTGCGCGAGTTTTAATTTCGATTCGCTTTAGTTCATAATAGATTAGGATTTGATCCAACACTTTTATACTCTAAATTTTATTATTTTAAGTAACTTGAAATCAAATTTTATAAAATTTCTATAAATTTTTTTATTCAAAATGAAGAATGAAAGATTCAACGAAGTTAGTTTCGCTTCATTTATTCAAAATTTCATCTGTTTTCATTGTATCCGATTGAAAAACTCATACAGTTTATAGCTTTAGTCAAAATTTCATTAGACTAAGGAATTATGAGTATCTAAGTTGAAGCATTTTAAATTTCACTATCTGAAATTGGTTCTTATCACTGTACTAAAAACTAGATTACCTTTATAATCATTCATCAGATAATCTAATATTATGAAGTTTTAAGGGTCCAAACATATAATTATCAGCCCATTAATGTTCAATGTTTCGTTCAATAATTAACGGAATAAACGAAGTTCATATCTATACCGAGAATGTTTGATATACGGTGATTCAAGTTTAAAATTTTGCAACACTTTGAATCCTTTTATTATTAAATTTTCATAATGCTCCAGTCTTGCTCCTTGCCTACTTATATTTCTTAAAATAGAGAACACAAATAAGAATTAAAGGGGCGAAAAAAGAGATGTTGTCAAAACCTGTTGAATGATTATCGGAGTTATTGAAAACATCAAACCTCATTGGATTAACTTAGAATTTAATGCATCGAAATCTGTTTTGAATGTCGTGGGAAACTCATAGAATGTTAAAGACTGCAATTGGAAACTGTTTAACCAAACTTGCTTTGATGTTTAGCATCCTCTTTTCCCCAATAATTTTCCAAATTGAAATAGCGTTTTTGTTTATTCCTTGATTGAATGAATATTAATGAATATTAATTTACCCTCCCAATGCACCTATTTTAATTTCAAGTGTTCTTAAAAGTACATATTAAGGATAGGATTACATGACCACAATGTAAAGGTTCTGAATCCAAATTTTTAGTAAACTTTCCAAATTTTTAAATTTTTAACGTCAATTCAATAGTATGCTTCTTAACACAAATTTAATAGATGGTAAAATACCTGCAATTTGGCACATAAAATAAAATGTTTCTAGATTTTTAAAAAAAAATTTCTCTAGGCTTCCAAAGATTGTATTAAAAATTTTTAAATTTCAATATTTAAATTTTCTTTCAGCCATGGATAAATTGACGATTGGAGCTATCTTTCTGATTTTGTTCGTAGCCTACAGCAATGCTGCATCTCCCTTTTTCATATCTGCAATTACTTCTGCTTTGGCAACAATTCCTTATTCAGGCGGACCAATGACCACGGGATTAGTTGGTGCTAAACTGGGTATAGGAACAAAGCTTCTTTACTACCTAGGTTATTTTGGTCGAAAGGCACCATCCACGCCAAAACAGAAAGCAGCTGCTTCCCCAAAACTTCCATCATCCTTCGGAGAAGGTGGATTTTCTTCACCTTTTCAGTACATGCAATCTGGTGGATTTCCTAACAGTTTTCCATCTACTTCAAATTTTCAAAACTCATTTGGTGGTGTTGATCCCTCACAACTTTTTCAAGCACTTATTGCTCAAGGAGTTGATCCTAATGTGGTGATTGAAGCATTAAACTATGCTGGAAGTATGAATCCTGCTCAAAATGCATTTGCCAGTAATGGAGCATTTGGTACGAGTGGATCATTTAGTGCTGGTGGTGGAGGAGCAGGTTTTCCAGCTAATTCAGGATTCTCATCAGCAATGTCGGGAGGAGCAGGTTTTCCAGCTAATTCAGGATTCTCATCAGCAATGCCGGGAGGAGCAGGTTTTCCAGCTAATTCAGGATTTTCATCAGCAATGCCGGGAGGAGCAGGTTTTCCAGGTAATTCAGGATTTTCATCAGCAATGCCGGGAGGAGCAGGTTTTCCAGCTAATTCAGAATTTTCATCAGCAATGCCGGGAGGAGCAGGTTTTTCAACTAATTCAGGATTTTCATCAGCAATACCCGGTAATCCTTTATATTTATATATCAGTTTTCGTTATTGCGTGCATAGTTTTAAATCATATCACTTGAGGAATATTTAGCAGCATATTAAATTTCTACAATTTTTCTTCCATAATTCGAATTTATTCGAAAACTCATATAAACTTAATTCTCGATCGCGTTCAAATTTTAAATCTTAGCTTTTACAAATTAAAGCATAGAAAGACTCCTTTTAGTCAAACTTGAATCGTCCTAGCGTCTAAAAGGTTTAACTTTAACCAAGCTAAATGTATAGATTTTGTTTGTTGCATGCACAGAATGATTCTAAAATATATGTTAAGTCATGCTATCAGAAACATAGCATTTAACGTACGTGTGTTCTGCGTAAAATCTGTGAAGAGCATATTTTTCGGTAGAAATTACCTACGTTAACTTTAACGAACATACATACATTAATATGCTTAAAGCCACGGGAAAGTACTATTTGCCTCTTTTCAGGGATGAGTTTATCGTCATTGAATGAGAATATTGTATGAGCTAGATGTAATTAATGCAGTTTATTACGTTCATATTGTATTTTATAACTTTTGTATTTAATAACCTTAATTAGCTTGTAACATTGATCATATCTTGAGTATTTATCATCATTTACTTGAGTGGCATCTGGTTATATTAACATTGACCATTTCATTCAATAAAATACTCGGTGGTCTGCATTACAGTATGAAATCACATCAGTTTACTGAGTCAAAGTTCAGTTCAAAATTTTGTAGCGTAAGTAAACTATATTACTTTCGCTTAGTTTTACTTTTAAATTTCGAAAATAAAGTTAACCTAGTGGAGCATTCTCAGATAAGACAAGTCTCTAAATGTCCCCTTTTCGTTCCGTCAAACATTCGAATATAGTTAAAATATGCACAAGTTTGAAAATTTTACAAAGGCCTATACTTTAACTATAATCGTGGGAAAAATTCTTTTGGGTTTTTATCTATCAAATTTTTTAATGATTGAATGTGTGAAACTGTTAACGTTAAATACATTGAATGCAATGCTTACTAATAAAGTAATTAACGCATCCCATCTGTTTAAATTTTTTTACGTTTAATTTTATTTAAAAGAGAATCAGTTTAATTCTATGCTTATTCTACGTTACAAGTTAAAAATTAAGGAAAAGAAATCCTTCGAGCGTAAAACTGATCTTCCAAACAAAACTAGATAAAATTTTTACTCAGTCTACATAAAGAGTAAAACTGTTAAACCATGCACATGTATCTATCAAAAAAAGAAAAAGAAATCTTTGGAATTTAATTTGCGATTGGTCACATTTTTCTTTCTGCGCAGAATTCAATCACCTAAACAATGGCTAAAACTTTCATTCAAACTCTTAGTTTCTACAACCTAATAAGCCATTGCCTCTTCAGACTGTTCTAAAACTGCATCATAAACTTGACAAGCTTATAGCTCTTAATATTGTCCTGGTTAAAGTGCAAAGTTGGGAATTCTTTGGAATACGAAGTGTTTGGGAAACGTTTCAAGTCAGACTTAAGTTTTCCAAAATGTTAAGAAGAATTTAACTTAGGAAATATTTTGGTAAATACAACTGAAGAGTTTAGAGTAATATAAGCACTTTTCATAATGCTTCCGCACTTTCAAATTGTTCAAAAGAACATTACAGATTAAAACAGAATTTTTATGCTAGCAATCTTACTGTACTGTTAAAAACGTGTTGAGTATTATCAGGCAATACTAATTAATGTAAAAATAGCAGTTAAATGTAAAAATTTCACCTTTAATAGAACTTAGTTGATTACAATCGATCTAGTTCTTTTAACCCTAATCAGCTCCCATAATTGACATAGGTTTAGCGCATAGCGTTTTAGATTTTCTGCCTTTAAGTTTTCCTTCTATTTTGCTTAATTTCAAAATATTGAAATTGCTATTTGATTTTAATTGGGTTATTAAAGCCCGTAAAAGGTTTCTCTTTAAGTACTGGTTCCACGACCCCGATGTTTTCTAACACTTACTCCCATTATTTCCTTTATTTTATTGTGAGACTATGTAACTTTAATTTTTGAGTTTCGGATTAAAAATTTTTAACCACAGCTGAACCTTTTAAGTTGAGGATTTCTCAAGTTCAGAGTAGACAAATAATTACCTAATACCTTTCTAATAAATTGAAATTCTTAATTTTTTGTGCTATTATAAATTCAAAAGTTTGGTGTTCTATTTTTTTTTTTTACTTTCAGACCAATAGTACTGCTAATTTCATAAGAGACCAAAAGCTATTGCTAAATAAACTTTCCTATTATATTTACAGTATTCTATAACCTTCTTCTCTGCATAATGTGTAGCAAATTATCAATTTTATGCTCTAGACTAAATTTTCATGAAAAATATAATTAAATTTACAGCCCATCAATTTGCTGGACCCCAAGGAGGCACAGGAGGCTCATTAAACCAACCTATTGCACCAGAAACTTCAGCTTCAGAAAGTGAACCGGATGATGCAGAGAGCTTTTTCAACTTTTTGACAGACATGGATGAAAACACTTGTATTTCAAGATTAATATGCGACATCGGGAATAAGCCATCTTTTCTAGGAGAATTTTCAGAAAACATTAGCAGCATGGTTAGGTAATAAATTTTCAATGTCTTTAACATTTCAACTACAGTACTCTTCAAAAATTAAAATACGTGCTGTTTTCTGAAATTTAATAAATGAATATAGAAACAAGAAATTTGAAAGGAATGCGCAAAACTGTATATTGACTAATAGAAATTTACATTATTTCAAACACAAGCAAATTTAAAACAAACTTGGCAGAACTTTCTAGACGATAAGTAGCCCCAAACATTCTGGAACGAATTTTTGTAATATTTCAGACATCACAAAACTGGCTACTGTTTTCTGGAAACAAATTCCTACCAAACTATTTTAATTTTAAATAATGGTTGAGCTCGAGTTTATGCAAATTCTACGGCAATCAAAGGAACTGTTTAGTTGATATTTTCGTCAAATTACTTGTTTCTATGTTCTTTCGTTTTCAAATAAGATTAAATAAAAACAGATCACAACCAAAGTAGCACAGGGATATTGTAACAGCTTTAGTCTACATCGACCGACATTGTCAATATTGGCGAAAATCGACATTGTGTGTAGGATATTGTACGATTCCCGTCGATTTCACATTAAAAGTCTGTTTGTAAAACTTTTCTTTTCAAACTTTATTGTGTTCTTAAATCAAAAATAATCATTTAAAAGACAAAAAATGACGTCAAATTGTTGAAATTCCAAAAAATAAATTTAAAATAAATTTAGAGATATCCGAAATGCTGAGAGATATCGATCGACATTCCCCAACGTTTTTACAATATCGAACAATATTGTTTCGCGATATTGAATAAACGTTATAAAAGGGGTCCATTTTTTATATATAGTACAATGCTTCGCTACGATATTATACAATGTTCAAAGCTAAGTTTTTACGATATCGTTTTTGTGAATTATGCTATTTGGGAACTTTAGGAGCGTATTTTCGAAATGTACTAATATTGTTTTTTGCAGTTCGCTCAAGGTGCCACCAACCAGTCGAGCTTACAAGTATATTGAAATAATGGAAAGAGGAAAGAAAGACGGTCAGTGTAGCGTAAAGTTTCCAGAATGTGGTGATGTTTCGTATGAAGTTGTTAAAAATGTAGCTCCTTCTGTTAGTTTGCCTCAAAATGTAAATCCCGCAGATATAAACTTCTAAAGAGAAGCCTCAAAACTGAATTTCAGTTTTTAATTGTTGAAAACTAAAATTGTTTATAAAACAATAAAGTTAATTTTCTTTTACTGTAGTTTAATTTCTCAAAGCAATCAACACAAGCAGCAGCATATGAAATAGCACATTTTATAACTAGTAAATTAAAAATTAAACTTGAAACTTTAGTACAAAGTCTTTTGCAACTTGATTACTATCCTTCATGAAGCGTAGAAATTTAACAAGCTTTATAGATTGGTAGTAATATATCTGGAATATATGAAGTCTTTTTGTTAGAAAATACGTAAGCAAATGAGATTTGAACGAAACAAATTTGGCTTAGATTTTTCAGTTTTGTCCAAAGAACTAATGAGTAAATGTTTCACTAAACGGCATACTTTTTTAAAGAAAAAGTAAATCGTGAGGAGTGTAATGTAAAAATTTTTTTAAACAGTTTTAACGACGTCCTTTTAGAACTTCTACAAATGACTTTCAGAGCGGCCAATATTTGTACCGTTTGAGGAACGCTTTACATAGAGTTATCAAAGTTAATTTTATTTTACTAAGTAACCCGACCAGCGTCCTCAAAAAAAACTAAATTGATAGCAACATTTCTAAAAAACATTCGAATGCTCCTCTTTACCTTTCCTATTAAAGTCTGTTAGCGAATCTCAGCTTGGAATTTTTGTTCTCAGAATATTAGAGGTTTTTCTGGTCTTTGACGAAGGGTCGGAATCCCGATCGCAACGCTCAACTAGACCATCTGAGGAGAACACACAGATTTCATGTCGAGAGCCTTCCTTTTCCTCCCCTCTGCTTAAAAGTATGGGAATGTATTACTATATTTTCTTTCATAATTCCTTTCAATTTCATCAAATATTTTTAAATTTTCCCATGACTTATTTTAAACTGTTTAATGCAGTTCTGAATTCCGAAGTCGAGCATCACTGGCTGCGGTCAGTGTGCGGGTAGGTGACCACTTGTATTAGTATACGTAGAGACCGATGGTTCGCGGTATTGGTCCTCATTAAACTGTTCTACCGTAAAGTGCTCAATTTCGCTTGCAGGTCGTTGGGTTACCAAAGCGGGGGTGACATCCTCCCTGCAGAAGATCAAAATTGTGATGGCTTGTCTTCGGATCATCCAGGGATGTTTCCCAGACCGTCGCCTATAGCCCATTGTACAGCTCTAGTGCGACGTAAATGAACTAAAACAGCAACAGCAGCAGTTTTGAATTCCAAACAGTTTTCAAACTTAGTTTTAATCAGTTTAAAAATCTTGACAAACTACCTGGTCATGACAAACTAATTTATCTCCAGTTCGATCACCCTCCTGGTCATTCACCCTAGTCCGATCCTTCGCCATAGCCTTGAAGATTACTGTTTGGTTCTTGGAACTGTTCCCTTTTTTCGGCTTAGTAATTTCTTTATCCAACTGAGATTAATCAAGGTTCCATGGGAATGAAATCATCTATCCTCAAGCAATTAATTCTTTTTACTAGTAAAATTTTTCTATAGGTAATAAGCACTTAGATTACATGGCGCTCCGTAGCCTTCACCCCTACGCCAAAGACTCCCATGAATACATTCCATACATAGATATTATATACCACATTGATGACACATTTCCGTAAATGGCATTTTCTACTCCTTTGATGTGCTTGCTGAATTGAAATTATATAAGAAAGGTTATTATTTTCAATACGATAAATTCCCTTTGGCGATAATATCGAAAATAACTATATAAACTATTAGAACTTGCATTGTCAACAGGCACTGAGCTCAACTAGATTGTTCTTGCTTGTTAGAGGTCAAAATCACGATTGCTAAAATCTATTAATACGAAAGTGAATTTCAGAAAACATAGTAATTAAAAGAAAAATCAAATTTATGAACTGTCCCACACTTAACATTCTCGAGTAAGACTGCGACTAGAATAGCCTGCAGAAGGCGCTGCGAACTAGTAAACAAATGGCATCATTTGTATGATCGTGCTTACACAAGCTGTAGATCAGCTGTATTTTCGAAAGGGGATTTTCGCATTTGTTGAGGGTTGTTATTGTTAATTTACGTCGCACTAGAGCTGCACAATGGGCTATTGGCGACGGTCTGGGAAACATCCCGGAGGATGATCCGAAGACATGCCATCACAATTTTGATCCTCTGCGGAGGGGATGGCACCCCCGCTTCGGTAGCCCGACGACCTGCGCTCGAAGTCGAGCACCTTACGGTAGCACAGTTTACCGCACACCCCCGGTCCCCACGCAGACTGATCCAAGTGGTCACCCACCCGCACACTGACCGTAGCCAGTGATGCTTGACTTCGGTGATTTGTTGAGGGATGGACAAAACCACCTTTAGGAAGCTTTCTGTATTCAGCGGTAGAAAGCGTATTCGAGCTCTAGAATTGAGATTTCCACCTATGGATGGTATTTTCAATGCAAATTTAAGCAAAAACAAATCTCTAACTCCTTTTCTTCAAGACTTCCAGCTCAAATCTGCATTTCATAAGACTTTAATGATATTAAGTAATTCGGGAGAATTTTGAAAAGAAAGTTTTTTTTTCAGTTATCTATAGATATATTTTTTTTAAAAAAAGCGACATGGTTGCTATATTTAGAAAAAAACTCGTTTTTCTGTCTCTTAATTTGGCTTCCTTTGACTTTTTCTTATTTCTATTTGTTCTGTTGCAATGCACAGTGCATAAGTTAGTGTCAGTATTTAGAGTAGCGAGATAGAGTTCATTTGTCATATTATTATTTAGATTCAAATTTCGCAGTTAGTAAAATTGTCGAAAAGATAATAAGTGTTTTATAAATATTTTCATTCTAATATTAATTTTAAGTCTTTACTGCCTATCAAACAACATGTTTACTATTGTATAACTACAAAGGATGGACAAAATAATGTAAACACATCTATGATACATTTTTTTCATATTTCTCTAGAAATACTTAAGGAATTATTCTGTATTTTAGAAGTTTTTAGATCAAGCGATTTCTCAGACATGTCCCTGAAGTTTAAAGCTTTTAAGGTTTGAGTGACCGACAATAAATTGCAAGTCGAAAATGTTTTTGAACACCCTATGCCAAAAACTGTAGTAACAGATTTGTAACTTGTGACGGTTATTTTGGTTATTGCATGCAATAATTGCACAAATTTTCGTAAACTTAGATTACATATTTATAGAGATATGGACATTTTATGAAAAAAAACTAACTTTTTTGTCTGATGTTTTTCTGCTATAACTTTAAAAATAGTCAATAAATTTATAGAGCACACAATTCAAAGAGCAATTTAAAATTAATTACAGAATTTTTGGTTTAAAAATTGGATAAGTCGTTTAAAACTGCGCAAGGGAAAAATATGTTTAATTAAAGTAATTCTTTTATACTGCACATGAGCATGAAGAAAAAAAATTTTTCATGCTTTTATGTTTGGCAACTAATGAAAAAAGTCTGAGTTGAATTTCTTAGAAATTTAAAAAGTTTCAAGCAATTTTAAAAGTATTCGTACTTTTCGAAAGAAAGTTGAAAGTAATAAGGGTTTTCTAGAAATATTAATATATATTTGTATTATAAGACAGAATTTAATAACAAATGATAATACCTAACAATAAACTTTCACACACCAAAATATGATTTAATAAGGAACGAAAACAGGCAAGAAAAAACAATGATACTCTTATTTGGGATGATCCTCAACAATGCCGTTGTCATTTTTAATAAATTTTGCTTAATAGTACAAAATCAAATATGCGATAAACCCTTTATCATTTTGAGCATTATTTTAAAAAGGACGAAAACTACTTAGAAAATTGATTGAAACTTTTTCAATTTTTAAAATATTCAAGTCAGACTATTTTTTAATTAGTTGCCAAATACAATTCGCTACAAAATTAAGATTTTTTTATAATTTTTACCGCTCATGCGCAATATAAAAGAATTACTTTAATTACTCATATCTTGTGCAGTTTTAAACGAATTTTTCTAAATTTTAAAGCATGAATTGTAAAATAAATTTTAAATTGCTCCAAAAATTTGTTTAATTTTATCGAAATTTTTTAAAGTTTTAAGCAAAAAGAAGTAAGACAAAAAAATGAGTTTTTAATTAAAAAACACGTCCATATTTCCCTAAATATATAAGCTTGGCTTACGAATTGTTTGTAAATATTGCATAGGATAATCAAAGTTACTGTCACAAGTTACTAATCTATTGCTATATTTATTGGCATAGGGGTTTGAAAACAATATTTGCAGTTTCTAATTTATTGTCGGTCCCTCATACCTCCAAAAGCTTTAAACTTCATTGATATGTATGAAAAATCGTAGGATCTAAACATTTCTGAAGTTGTAAAATGATTCTCTCAGAATTTCTAGATGAATATGAAAAAATTTATTAGTATAGAAGTGCTTCCATTATTTTGCCCACCCCTACACATGTATAGTGCGCTCAACAAGAAATGGATCATTCTGAATAACTTTTAATCCAATGATCGGATATTCACGTTCTAGGACTTTACCTTCAAGGTTAAATAGGATGATCTCAAATATGCAAAATGATTACTGCAGACGATATTTTAAGTTACAAAATCAGGCATGAAAACATACTTCCTATGGATAAACATACCTTTTTCCCCCCGCCTGATTTAGATTTACCCCCTCAATATAAGGGGATACACAATATACCCCTTATATTGACCCCCACAATATGAAGTAGCTGCAATCTGGGAAATATGGTCCCTATAGTTTGGTTAGGAAAGTGCTGCAAAGTTTTGACTCCTTAATGTTACTTTCACTTTTTGCCTATTTCACCATGTCTCGAGTACTTTTCAAGCGAATTGAAAAGTTTTTGCACATAATTATAAAATTTGTATATTCAAAGCTAACTCCATGCAAAACATAACTTTTAGCGCTTATTTATTACTTATTTTTCATAATTTTATTTAATAATAGTCGAAAAACTTTTGATTTTTGAGGTATGCAATTTTTTACATCCTTTTAAGTACTGCAATTTCAAATTTAAAGCAAATTGAGTGAAATTGGTCGATTAGTTTCTGAAAAATATAATTTCGAAAGAATCGTATTTTCAAAATTTGATTTTTCTGGAACTATTCGACCGTTTTTTCTCAAATTTTGTATTTTGCCACGTAAGAATACATACTTTATAAAGATGTAAAAAAGTGCATACTTTGCAATTTAAAATTTTTTCCACTGTTATTAAATAAAATAATAAAAAATAGCAAATACTCACTAAAATTTATTTTCCCCAAATTACATATTTGAAGTCACCTCCTTGAACCCTTTAGATTGAGTCTTAGAACGTGAAGATTAGGATCATTTATTTAAAAGGTATTCAGGGTGATCCATTTATTTCTTTAGCTTACTGTTCCTTTTTCACTATATTCTGTCTTTTCATTATTTATTTTGCTCACTGTTAACACAGTGTACACGTTGAGCCAAATGGCCTCAACATTGACAGGATACAGTAGCCTGGAAATATAGTCTATAAATAGCCTCCAGCGCTTCCTAGTGTATAAAACACCAAGTATCTTGTTCTCATTGGCGTGCCTTTTCGGCAGACCAAACTTTCACAGACAGTGAGAACGGTCGTTCACAAAATATAATATTTTTCTCTTTTTCACCTGAGCAAGCTATAGGCGCATATCTATGAATCATAGTGCTATTAAACTCTCACCGGTCTAGTACTAGTACTTGAATTATAAACTAAAATAAAATTTTGATGCTCTTCTTGTCAAAAAGTTTTTTAAAATTTCAGCTACATTAGCACTGTTGTGCTAACGAAAATATGTATAAACATTTTGAAGTTAAAATTATGAAATTTTGCTTTATTAATCATTCTAATATATTTTAATAATTATGAGGTAATGTTATGGAGTTTCTTGTTTGGGCATTGTTTATTATTTCTTTTATCTCACGAAAAATAAAACGTATTTTATGCGTGTGTACTTGATCGCTCTTATTTTAAACTATAATTTTTCTTATGCTTTTTATTAATATTTTAAATATTATAAACGCGAAAATTTTGAAAGAAATTTAATTTCTTTTAATTATTTTTTTTGCGCACATAAGTCCACAATTTTAATCCTTTTAAAACTGAGGACTTATGTATGACCCTTTTTTCCTCGGATGTTAATTGCATGGGGTCCCAATTGCATAAACAATATAACTTCTGCTTTCAATTCTTGTAGGGTAGAATTTTTGTTTTCTCCTTTCATTTGCTGCCTTTGTGGAACCATATTAAATTATACAAAATTAAAGCAAATTCAATTATTTTTAATAAATGATAAAATTAAGTTTATTTCAAAGGTGTACAAAATTTGAATTGCATGAAAAGTACGCTTACTATGCACCCAGTTACTACAGATAATTATGAAGAATTATATTAAGACATCAACCACATATAGTTAAATTGCAGAAATTAAATCTGTTTAAAGAAAAATACTTGTGTATCAAACCTGAGCTAGTCTGATTATTTTTGTTTTTAATAAAGTAGTTTGAGTAGTAGAAAAATTAAATTAAATAATAAATTTTGAATGTATAGAAAAAAGATGAATGTAAAGAAAAAAATAATTTTGATTTTTTTTTTTTCATTCACCTATTTAAATTTTTTTATACAGTGTTTTCATGTTACAATTTCAGTTTATATTTGTCAAACTAAGCAAGAAAATGATTGTAGCTGAAATTGATGTTATTATATTATCCCTCTCTTGATTTCACTTTTCTGGCAATTAATAATTAGTCACAATATTCTAGTAGCATTTTTTTTATCTGCTATTTGTGAATGAACATTAAAATGAAATAGGCATTATTTAATATTCCAACAAGAATGGGATAACTAACAACAGATTTTTTTTTTTTTACTATACAATAATAAAATGCAAAAATTTTTACTAAAATTTACTTATTGTTAATATTGTTTTCTCAAATATATTGTTAAATAGTCATTTTGGTGAGAAAAAGTATTTTTACCTAGGCAGTGGTTAAAATTAATTACAAAGTGGCTAAAATTGATTACAAAATTGTTAGAGAGTATAAAACAAGTCTTATTAAAGCAGTGATTAGTTTTAATAGATCAGTTATGGTAATTAACTTTAAGAAACTAATTAAAAATGGTTGATCTTTGATTATTTATAAAAAGAACCTCTTAACTATGCTACAGAGTATCTGTATGATCTTATCTCTTAATTAGTTATAAGTCAATAATGTACTAATAGCTGTGTTTTTCTTTTCAAGTTATGCTATTTGAATTTATTTGATGGCCAGTGTTTTGCATGAATCTGATCCTTCAGTTTGTATGAAGATGGCCGATAATTTAACTTCGGATAATTCCAGCTCTTATATCGGTGGTATTCATTTTAACACGAAATCATCCGTAGATAGGTATAGTTTTTTATTCTAAATTTTATTGATAAATAATAATTTAAAACATTGAATTCTGTGGGGGATTATCTAAAAATAATTCACTTATGGGTTAGTCACATTAAAAGAATTAAATTTACTTTGACTTATATTTTTTAAACAGCATACAGATAAAGCTTACTTCACATCAAAGTGAAGAGTAGTTTCTATCACACAGTTGATCTTACTTAATTGCAGGGTTCGTGATTTTTTTTAAAAAAATAAAAAAAATCAGATTTTTTTTTATTAAAATCGGACTTTATTGATTTAAATCAGATTTTTTTTTATTTTTATTCAAACACATTGTAGGAACTTTAATTTATGATTCAAAATACTTTATAAATGTTTAATCAAGATTAAATTAATATTAAAACAATATTATAAGAATATTTTAGAAGCTCTAACTTACTAATATAATTTTTCATTATAATACATAGCTTTGAATGCATAGCAACCATTTTGAAACAAATGCATAATTGAAATTTGAAGACTAGAGGAAATAGAGAATTTAATGAAAGTGGTCTGTCTAGGTTTTTCTGAGAGGTATTTATTTTGTGAAAATTTAGACATAATTTGTGAAAATTAAAAATAATATTAAAAAATCATCAAAAAAATATAGATTTATTCGTTTCTTACGAAACACAAAAATAAAATTTTAGAAAAAAGTATTTTGTGAAACTATTGTTTTTCCTTTGGTGATTTCCAAAGTTGAATTTGTGAATGTACCCTAAGCAGTAGCAAATTCAGCTTGGACAGACTCTTTAACTATTAAATTAAGGTTTCAATTAGCAAACCATAATTTTAATTTAAAATTGTGTTTTTTTTCTCTTGATTTTTAATATGATAAAATAAATGTAACAGATTGTTTATAAATGTAGTCGTTCATCAAAAAATAAATAAATATTTAATCTATATATTTTTATATTAAAATATTCATTTTTAATTTTATATCAAAATAGATCAGCTAAAAAAAATTTTTTAAAAATCTATGCACTCATTTAAAATTTTTTTCACAAAATTTCTTTATACAGGGATGAGATTTTTCCGCTTTTTAGCTGATTTCCGCTTTTTTCACTTTTATCTCTTGAATTTCAGCTTTTTTATCAAAAATTC